CGGACCTTTTCTTCTGGATCCGTTCTGAGCGTCGAGGGACTTCATCACTGGGAAGGGTATGGGACTCAACACTGGTGGCGGGGTCAGCAGAAGGCATTGTTACGGGGCGGAGAAAACGGCGGTTCCTCCACCACACACGACCACTGGGTAACCGCACCTGGTAGTCCCGTGACCTGCCGAGACCCATGACTACGCCTACTTTGTCCCAACGCAGGGAGGTCGGGTCCTGAACACGGACTTGGGTACCGACACTCAACCTGGGGAGAGAACGGGCGTGGTCGTTGTAGCGGGCGACGACGTCCTGAACACGTTCGGCGGCTCGGCGATCACAATCCTCTGTCTTAGCCTGCCACTCCTTGGAGAAGGATTGAGGGTGAGCAGGGACACAAGAACGAAGGGGGCGCCCATACAAAACCTGGGCAGGGGAGCGTCCGGTGTAGTTGGGTGTGTTGCGGAGTTCAAGAAGACCCCGGTCGAAGGCCTCGCAGTCAATGTTCCCAGAAGGGGCCACCTTAAGGATGAGGTGCTTCAAAGATTTGACAGCAGCCTCAGCGTGGCCGTTGGACTGCGGGTAATGGGGCGATGACAACACATGCCGGACTCCCCATCGGTCAAGGAACGCAGCAAAGTCCCGGCTTGTGAACTGAGGCCCTCCGTCGGTTCGCAGGCGTACAGGAACGCCCACGTCACGGAAGTAGTGGCGGAACTTGCTGATGGTGGCGGCAGACGTCGTGTCATTACCGCCCTTGATGACAACCGGCCAACCAGAGAGACGGTCGACGATAACCAGGAAGGACTTTCCTGACACACAGAAAAGTCGGCCGACACAGACTCAAAGGGGCGGGTGGGGTTGTCGTCACTCATGAAGGGTACCTGCTGCTGGCTGGGTTGTAATACGTGGCGGGGCTTACACACCTGGACAGCATTGGAGATGTCGGGGTCGATGCCAGACAGGAACACAGTCTGTCGTGCACGTCGTTTGGTGGCCTCAGCTCCACGGTGACTGTCGTGAAGGCGAGCCAGGGCGTGGGGACGTGATGCAGCAGGGACAACTACCGAAGGAGAGGTGTCACTGGCCAGAGGTAGGGGTAGGGCGGCAGCAGGGTAGTTGCTGCTCCCTTCATGCACCCTGTTGGCGTAATTTACCTCGAGAATCGGTGTTGGGAAGTCCTGGGAGATGATGGCCAACTCTTGACAATGTCTGTAGGACAGCAAGGGAGTCGGGACACCATTATGCACGTCAATCCAGGCCTGACACGACCTGTTGCCAAAGGTGACATGTGCATAGAGTGAACCCAGGGCTGGGGCCATCTGTGAACCATCTGCCATAAAGCGGAGGTCCTCGGGAGGCGGTCCTAGATCGCTTGGAGAGAGCCCCAAGCATCGCAAATGCTGGGGACCGATGACTGTAGCATCAGCGCCGGTGTCGGGCAACATCTGAAGACGGGATGACACACCGCCGTAGGTCACGATGACGCTGATGTACTGGGGGACTTTGGTCCTGGGATGCGAGGAGTACACCCTCCTAAAATGGGTCGGGCTTTGTCCCGGGTCGTCGTGCCTCTGATTTGGCGACTGTGGGCGGCCCTCTCTGGTAGAAGGGCGCTGAAGCTTCCGTTGACGCTGTTCCTTGGGTTTGTTGGAAGGGCAACACTTGTCATAGTGGCCCAGACGGCCGCACACATTGCACTGGACGCGTTTGGCTGGGCACCGTACTGTGAGTGACCAGTGGCCCTTACGGTCACAACTGTTGCAGGTAGACTGAGCAGCTGGACATACCTGTGTTCCGTGCTGCTTACCACAGTTGTTGCAAAATGAACCGGGCGTGGACGTGGTGGGCGAAGGCGTAGGAGCAGACTTCTTGTCCTTCTTGTACCGGGAAACAGCGCGTACAGCTGTAGGGGGAGCTCGGATGGCAGAGGTGGCACACCTGGCAGCCTCATAGGAGCGACATATCGTCAACACATCCTGAAGAGAAGAGGAAGAGTCGAGGGAGGTGAGGCGTTGGACAAGTTCCTCGTCCTTAACACCCATCAGGATCACCTGCTTCAACTGGGTCTCCTCGCACTGCTGGTGGTGGCCTAAACATATATCTACCTCTTCCGAGGCTCTCTTAAGACGTACATAAAAAGCGTCAAAAGACTCACCCTCCATCTGTCTGCAGCTAAACAATTCCCTCCTGCGCAGAGCTTCATTCTGCTGTCCTTTGATGTGCCGTTGTAGAACGTCCAGTACCTCCTCTACGGACAGCGAAGAGGTTGGGGGTACCTGCAACGTATGTTCTAAGACACGCTGAACTTCCAAGGACAGGCACATACGCAGCTGGATGAGTTGTTTAGGCTGTGACAAACTCTGGAGATCCACCATTGTAGCATAATCAGCCCACCGCCGCCGCCATTCGCGAAAAGTCTGGAAATTTACATCAGGCTCCAAGATGGGCGGTGTTTGAGCTGCTGCTTTAGGTGGGGCTGGGGGGCGTGAAGGAAGCATGGATGAGGTATCTGAACCATTCAGTACCGAGGCAGTGTTAGAGCCAGGGGCTTGGTTAACAGTGAGGCGAGATATCAAGGCTTCAAACCGTGCACTGTCTTCCATTCTCCGTTGGTGGTCTCGTTCTGCCTCTGCTTGCCTTCTGTGCTCATCCGCCAAACGTCTGTGAGCTTCATCCTCGCGTCTCTCATCTCTCATAAACTTCATTAAGGCAATTATCTCTGGAGATAACGCTGAATGTTGAGGTGAAGGGCTGCGCGATGTTGTGGGAGCTGGGCCGGCCTGGTCATCCATCTCTGGGGGACTATCATCCGCTTGACTCATCCGGGCGCTGGGTCCACGGCTACGTAAGGCATGAGACATAACTACTTTATCTGTGTACTGTGTCTTAAATCAGTGTTGACCGGTCAGCCCGTCGTATCAAAAAGATTTCAGACAAAAAAAATTTAATTCAATACACAGATAAGTAGGTTATATATATAAAATATATATAATGAAGCCGCGCGGTCAGCAAGTGTTAGTACATGTATGTGTGTATGTCTCAGGCAGGCAGAGCGTCTCGCCCCAGCTGTGAGGGAGGGGGGGGTGGAGGCGGCGCTGTGAGGGAGGGGGGTGGAGATAGGAGTAGCTCAGTCGCTCTCTGTAAACGGTCAGAGGAGGGTGCGCTGAGCTCTACACCCCACAAATGCCCAGAACATGCCGTATACCTTGGAAATCCGTTCGAACAAGGTCACACATGAATGGCACGAAACACACAATGCACTAAACACTTCACAGAAAATCACTGTCACTGACACTGCTCAAAGTTGCGAAATTCTTCGAGGGATGACGCGGGGTTGACCCAAGGCGGGGATCCATCAGCCGGCTTTCCACAAACTTGCACTAATCACTCGTAATAATCCAGTAATCCTACGCACTGCGCCATGTTAGATGTTCTGGGTAATAAGTTCTATATACAGGAGAGAACACAAACACCTGTATAGTTTTGTAGGTTCGGTTTACTGGATAAGAGTATGTACACAGAGGTGGATAGCACTGCTCCCTAGCTAAGGTCCTGGTCAACTACCATAGACGACGTATGGCAAGTGATACATTAGCAGCTTCCATACGCCGCCAGGCACATTAATTAAGCATGTGGGATATGGTAATAACATTGCCACACGCTGCTAGCTAGGCTGAATAAATATAAATGGAGCACATACATAATATACATACATGATACATAATCCAGCATACATAATATACATACAGCAGGCACATCTGATGTTGGCATGGCCCAGAAAGTCAGCGACAATTCGTACATGGCCGGACAAATAGGCCATGTCTATGCTACAGGGACAAAGGACGGCCATGAAAACCCATACAGCTGCGAAAGAGACATCTGAGTATCGAAGAAAAATGCCAAGATTGTACTGTCCATAGTGAGTGTGAAGATTCGGGAAAAGGACTCACACCAACGAAATCACATTAGAACTTTAGCTCTCTTGGACTCGGGCAGCGACTGGTCGTATTGCCCCAAAGCTCTGGTACAGAAACTAAGGGTGAAAGGGACACCTACCCTGGTAACCATGGGTACACTTGCGCAAGAAATGATACTCGAGTCAGCGGAGGTAGATCTAGAAGTGGTTGGTGCAGGCATGAAACGAGGCAGAATCATACTTATGCCAAAAGTACTCATTATACAAAATTTCCCCACCACGTTGCACAACTCCTTAGCGAACACAAGTGATATTTCAAGGTAGACCCATCTGCGAGGTGTGGAATTACCAGAATTTCAGAGCAACAGCATAGAAATTCTAATAGGACAAGATGTGCCACACGCCCTGGTACCCTTGGAGGTCAGAGCAGGAAGGGATGGAATGCCATTCGCCATAAAAACGCGACTTAGTTGGACAGTGAATGGACCGGTGGGGCACCAAGACGCACAAGGAATTTGCATGTCAGGATGCCTGATGACCGAAACTGTCGTGAGTCCTGAAAACCGTCTGGAAAGACAAGTTAAGCTTTTAAGGGAGCTGGAAAGTGGGGACACAGGAGCCTTGAAGTCAGCAGCTCATTCACTTGAGGACAAAAGAGTGTTGAGGCTATGGTCAGAGACAGGCATCATAACTAATGGTCATTACCAATTTCCCATACTTTTCCGTAATGAGAACACTGAACTCCCAAACAACAAGGCCATGGCGGAGCGTCGACTAGATGGGCTTCGAAGGCGACTATCCAAGGACGCATGGCTGAGACAAGGATATGTAGATAAAATAAATAAACTGCTTGCTGAACGATATGCTGAATCAGTGCCTTAGTTCCAGTTGGAGTCAGATACTGAACTGGTCTGGTATCTGCCTCTTCACCCGGTGTTGAACCCAAATAAGCCAAACAAAGTACGCATAGTTTTTGACTATGCAGCCAAACACAAAGGGACATCGCTGAACAACCAGGTATTACAAGGTCCAGACTTCAACAGCAAATTACTTGGAGTCCTGTTTAGATTTCGCCAAGGAACTACAGCCATCATGGCAGATGTGGAGGCTATGTACCATCAAATCCAAGTAGCGCCAGAACAGCGAGATGCATTAAGATTCTTCTGGTGGAAGAATGGGGACCTGAGTAGAGAACCAGTAACTTACAGGATGAAGGTGCACATCTTTGGTGGGGTGTGGATCCCTTCTTGTGCAACTTACGCCCTCCGGCGCACATTTCACGACCACAGATCCGAGTTTCCCGATATGGTGGCGAAAGCGGAAGTCAACTTCTATGTTGACGACCTACTCATGTCGCTAGACCCATCAAATGAAGCATCAATGTTAGCGTGTCAGCTTAGAAGACTGTTGGCGCGCGGAGGATTTCGGTTAACTAAGTGGGCCAGTAATCACAAAGGAGTGTTGGCTACCATCCCAACGGAGGAGAGGCAAAATGCACTGAAGGAAATTGATCTGAGGCAAGACAAATTGCCAATGGAGCGAGCCCTGGGGGTTAAGTGACTCCTGGAAGGTGATCAGCTCGCCATCAAGGTGCAACTAAACTCAAGGCCAGCGACCAGGAGAGGAGTACTAAGCTTGATCAGTTCCATTTACGTCCCACTGGGGTCTGTTGCCTTATTCATCATCAGGGCCAAAATATTATTTCAGGGTGGGATGAACCTTTGTCGGCTATTAATCACACGACCTGGAGTACCTGGCAATGAGAACTAGCCCACCTAGGGAAATTAAGTGTACCCAGATGCCTAAAAAACAGCATGTGCTAAAGAATTCATCTCAGCACAGATGCACACATTCTGCGATTAATCGCAGGCTGCTTAAGGTGCGGTGACTTATTTGAGACTGGTAGACTCTGGCGGAAGTATCCAGTGCTCTTTCGTGTACTGAAGGGCCAAGCTGGCCCCACTCAAGCAATTGACAATACCAAGGCTGGAACTTTGTACAGCTGTCCTGGCAGTGAACGCTGATCGAACGATCCGCCGAGAAATGACCATGACCACACACGAATCTTATTTATTGACGGATAGCATGCTAGTCTTGCAGTACATCGCCAATTCGAGTAGACGATTTCAAACGTTTGTAACCAACAGGATAGAAGCCATACAAGAGCTGTCAAGAACTGACCAGTGGAGACATGTCGGCACATCGCTGAATCCAGCGGATGATGCAACTAGGGGATTACCTGTCCTGGACCTGGTTGCAGGATCTCGGTGGATATGAGGTCCTGATTTTCTACTCAATATTAAAGAATGGTGGCCAAAGGGAAAAGAACTGCCAGTAGCTCTGAACGACTTACTGGAGGTGAAAGGAGAAGTACAACAGAGATCTGTAGTTGTTCTGGCAGTGAGCGAGCAGTCAAAATGGTGCCACGTCAAACTGTGGCTCAGGTAATCATCATGGTACCGCTTGGTGAAAGGGGTGGCATGGATTAAACGGTTCAGTCGGTGGCTCGGATCCAGTACAAGGACCGCAGACCTGCGCCTCAAACTGAAGAGGCTAAACACTGAGGAACTACAGTCGGCTGAGCAGACAATTATAAGAGAAGGAAATCCAAACTGTCATAAAGGGTGAGCTGCCAAGGGACAATAAGCTATATAAACTGGAACCTTACTTGGACAAGCGAACGTTGTTCAGATCAAAGGGAAGAATTAAAGGAACCCTTCTTGGGCGAAATGGTGAGAAGCCAATCTTGCTGCCTAGAGACCACCACCTCACCGAAATCATAGTGCGGGAGATGCACGAAGAGAGAGCCGGACATGTCGGACGAGAGCACATGATGGCGTGTGTGAGGCAAAGGTATTGGATTCCCCAGGGCAGACGCTTGCTTGATACGACGCTGTGTAGTGTGCCGACCGAACAACTGGAGAAGTAGGCATCAAAGGCAAGCTGACTTACCAATAGATCGTGTCACGCCTGGAAAGGCACCATTTGCTTACACTGGAACCGACTGTTTTGGTCCCTTCATTATCAAGGTAGGGAGGAAACAGGTCAAATGCTGGGGATGTCTGTTTACATGTCTAACTATTAGGTGCTGTTCATCTAGAAGTCTTGACGCAGATGTCTTCCTGAACGCAATAACTTGTTTTTTTTTGTTTTTTTTTTTATTGGGCACCCCACTACATCCTTGTGTAAGGTGAAGCGCTGAAGCGTTTACAGCGCCCAACAGGGAAGCATGCTAAGTTCATGCTTGCCTTTATGTCTCATGAGTTAAGGGCGTAGAAGCCTGAAGAGTCAATGGTTTATGTCATCAAGTTATTGGAAGCTCCAACAACTCCCTGAATACGAATTCGCAACTTTCGACTTACAACAGGTACCTACTTTACTGCTAGGTGAACAGGGACTAATGGGGGCTAGGAAATATGTCCAAACAACTTCCACCGGCCCGGGAATCGAACCCGTGACATCTTGCTTGCGAGGCATGAGCGATACGGCTTCTACCACCGGCCCCCCACCAACGCAATAACAAGGTTCTCACGATGCAGAGGTACACCAGAGCGCATTAGGTCGGATAGTGGGACAAACATGGTAAGGGCAGCCAAAGAACTCAAACTGGCTGTGAACAGTTGGGAGCAAGATGACAGACTCAGAGGTGCCTTACTGAAAGCAGATATTGATTGGGTCTTCAATCCACAAGCTGCCCCATACATGGGGGGAGTATGGGAAAGGCAGATTCGCACAGTAAAAAAGGTCCTACAGGCGATTGTGGGCTCACAAGTTTTAGACGATGAACTTCTGCAAATACTGTTCTGTGAAGTGGAAGCCATAGTTAACGAGAGGCCAATCACCCCGGTTCCAAACACTCCAAATGAACCAAAGGCTTTCACGCCTGCTGATCTTTTGCACATAAGTCGAAAGGGTAATCTTCCTTTAGGAGGAAGGTCTATAGGCGAATCATACCACAGAAGGTGGAAGCATGTCCAGTACCTTGCAGATCAATTTTGGAAGTGCTGGCTGACAGAGAACCTCCCTCAACTCAGAACTCGACAAGTGCATTTTAGACCACGGCGCAACTTTCGCCCTGGTGACCTAATCATTATAGCAGAAGCAAATAGTCCACGCAACAAATGGCACCTTGGTCGTGTGATGGAAGTCAAGGCTGGCGAGGATGGACTTGTACGACAGGCAGTGGTCAAGTCGACAACGTCCACGATGCTGCGACCTATGACAAAATTATACTTGTTGGAGGGAGCAATGGAAGGGGCTGACGGAGTCGGCTAGGAAAATGAATTGGGTATCCACACATGAAGACAGTGATGTCCGAATGTCAAAGGACCGAGGTGTCCTAAGGAGCTGATAAGTACTGATAGCCTGAGGAGAGCGACAGTCACAAGAACGTGACAAAGTTTAGTATCAAAGGCCTGATCTGGTTTTGAGCGTGAACGCTCAATGGAGTGGGTGTTACCGCAAGCAGTAATGAGTATATAGAGTACTGAGATGGTGGAGATGAGAGACCCAGAGGAGGTTGAGATGTTGGGTGGTGGTAAAGGGAGCTTGTTTGTGTATAAACACCTGACCCAGCGTCGCCGACCAGCCAGGGCTGGGCAGGGCACTGGCACTGTAGCTATCCCCATCATAGAGGCAAGACCTAACCTGTGCTCTTGAGACTTTCAACACGTAAGTTTAACTTGTACTTATTGTGTACACAGGTAGACTCTGTCCATTGCATCGTTTATCATGTATAATTGCCTATGTATGATTGCCTATGTATGATTTATTTGAAATACTAAGATGAATTGTATTCAACAGGTTTGACCGAATTATATAACGTTCAAATTTAACATGAAGAGTCTGATTAACCTTTAAACGCTCAGAAGGCGTTTACAATATATATATATATATATATATATATATATATATATATATATATATATATATATATATATATATATATATATATATATATATATATATATATGTTTAACAAAATGTCGGAATCTGCATGGTTTGCTAGCTACAGCAATTGACAGATGGGAAAGTAATGATATTGAGATTGGCGTGAAACAGCCATAGGTTTCTGTGCAACTTTAAAATAACGCAGTCGTTGTCAAAAATAATCCTATAACGTCTACTACCATCCCAGCGAGTTAAAGGCCCTTCTACAAGAGTCACAAGATGGCGGGGAGGTATTGATGTGGGAGAGAGATGCGGGTGGCGGGCCTAGGTAGGGTAGGTGGGTACAAGTCAAGGGCCACATACGTAATGAGAGTGCAAGTGGGGTTAGAATTATCCTTAACATCTTCAGAAGGTGTTATGTTTGGTGGATGTAGCTTGACGTTGACGGCCCTGGCAGGTGATAGGGCTAACGGCCATAGGTTATAAACTACATTGGGACCCCACTTTACACACCATCTAAGATATAAACAATGCTTAAAGTGCATCTGGAGTAGGAATGTGGTGGTTGCCCTGCTTCACTGCTTGGTGAACAGTTGGTATGCCGTTTCATCGTAACAAAAGCACCCGCGAGCAATGCCGGAGTGGACAAGCTATTTTACACAGGAGTGTTCCTTCTTAGTTGAGTTGCTAGAAGAACGAAAGGGTCGTCCTGTTCGATAAAAGCTTTGAGGTTTATCTGTCTTCTTCACTATCACTCTTGTTAAGTAATATTTCAGAAGCTTCCCCAACAGAATGATACTTACTGTATGTCAATTCTTTTTACACGGAAGAGCGCTAGCGTGGGCGTAAGAGGTTTATGGGCATGTGTAATCAATCACTGTTAAACATTGAGAGACGCGCTAATTTGGCGGGAGAATTTGAAGAATTTGAGACTTGGTAGAGAGTGATAGTGAGGTAGAGGTTACTGGAGCCCCGGTTCAAGGAATTCCTGCGATTGTGTGGTCTGATGGTCGTGATTTTATACCAAAAGTGAACGATTTTGATCGGACAAACAGTGGTGTTAGTGACACGTGTTCAATAAACGAAAATTGTAGACTACTTGATCACTTTCAGTTATTTTTTTGATGGGATGCTTATGTAAGCCGCCATCACAATATTGTGTTTTAATTCAACTATCAATATTATTTAATTAGCTATTATACATAACTATAAGACATTATTGGATATTAAAATAACTAATATGTTCAATACTGCATAGGAATTTGCTGACATTACGTCACGGATCACCGCACTAGTATCACAGGCTCGCTAGAAATTGATTCCATATGGATAGATCATGCAACATTGAATCATGTGACTCCATAACCGCCTCTCTCTCGATTACGCAGTTATGACTGTGTGAGCCGCCGCTGTACGACGAAGTTTCTTAGGCCCCGTACGAGGCAGTTTCTCGGGCCCACTATAATAGATTCCACATGTATTGGTCACGAGGTTATGACCATAAAGCGTTTCATGACTATGAGGCATCTCAAGGCGTCGCTATCCGTAGTCACTATCTGTAAAAGTGAGTTAGAATTAGTCTGTCATTGGCCAAGACTCAGTTCCTACATATAGCCCCTACAGCAGGCATGATCCTTTGTCTCGCCAGTCTCTGTACATAAGTATTGGAG